CTCTTCATCATCTGTACTTCTTGCTAGTAATGTTACTTTTCTGATGAAGTCAATGATTGCTTCTGGGGATGCAAAGTAAGGCCAAACATGCAGGAATTGGGAGGTTGAGCCTTTTTTTTTTTTTTTTTTTAGAGAAAGAGCTCATTCTTTCTCAAAGCCCTGAGACACTTGAGGAAGATGGTGCCTGAAGGATCTGTTCTACTGCAAATTTGGAGCCAACCTCCTCAGTGGGTTCTCCTCAGCTCTGGTATGGTCACACTCAAGGCTGTCATTTGTAATGGACAACATGACACCTGTGTCCTGCTGAGGTACTCTGAACTGTCACAAGACAGAGACAGGAGACTGCCTGAATCTCTTAACCCTCCTCTGTCAGAGATCTCTCACCTAGGTACTGACTCTGATTCACTGCAGTTATACACAAAGGCTGGTGGCAGAGCAGCCAGAACTGGTGTTAGAAGACAAGCCTCCCTCCTCTTTACACTGTACAAATCTCCAGAGTGCCGTGTTTGGGTAATGCATCCAGCCTTCCTTCCTTGAACAATGATAGGCATCCATGACACTGAGCAAGAGAACTTTGAGGAAGCTTTCTGTTTCAGACTGGCCTTTGGGCTTATGTCTGAAGACTCATGTTGGGCAGTGTGCTAGAGATAATCCAGTAGTCAAGCAGCACTACAGGCATGAAATCAAGTACCTGAAAATTACTGTATGTGAAAAACGCAGTGGTTGGTGCTGACATCTGACACAGCCAGTGCAGCTTGGGTGAGCAGGTGGCTGGATGTTGTTTCTAGCCTATCCTCCACCAAAAGCGCACCAAGGGCCTTTGTAAATGTGTGGCTACCTCCCCCTAACAGTACTCTCATGAATGTCTCAGTAAGAGCTATTTCCATTTGCCAGGAGGTGTGGTAGCTAGCCTAAGGCCGTCCATTGGGCTGTGGTAAAGCACAGTGTTATGATTCCCAGGCCCCCAAATTTTCTGTGCAATTAAAGACAGAAATCTTTCTTTTATCAGTTCTGTAACACGGCACCTGGTGGCACTCAAGCAGTCATCTGAAGGTTTTCATGAAGCCTTTAAAGCCCTGGAGAGAATGGTTGAACTTACTGTTGGAGTCTCTCACCTTGTTTTCTTGCAAACAGAGTCAGATCTCTTGTAACAATATGAACTGTGAATGCATATACTGCAGTATGTTTTTTATGCCAGGGTTATTTACCAAAATTGGAAAGGAGGAGACGATTTTGTGGAGTTTCCTACTTATTCACGAATGTATTTGCACAATGTGGTCACTCTCTGATCTTCCATCCCTTCCAGGACTGGGTCTGCACCACTAGGCACTACTTTGCCAACAGCTGATGAAGTTTTCCTGTTCTGGGGAAGGGCCCTGCTCTTTACACACCAGGGAGCACAAATTCTGTCCCAGCTACTGCTGTCAAGTGAACTTGGTGTACCTCATGGGAAGCTACAGGTGTTGATGGCACACTGTAGCTACTGGAAGGTTTTGTCTAAGTTGTGGCCAGAAGCAGGAGGAGTGAGAACAGCCTCTTTGCCCTCACTATCTGAAGTGTCTGCTACCCACAGCCCAGCTTGTGTTGCCATGGAGACATTGCCCTGATGGCCTGCAAATTCTGATCATTTCAGTGAAAATAATTTGATGCAATCAACAGAGACATGGGGTTTGCAGTTGCCACACACACAGATATACACACTCCTGCGACTGCCTTCTTTGTGTCATGATTTCAGCAAGCGAGCACACAAATTTGCTTGTAAGACAGGAGCATGTCAGCCAGAGGGGATGGTTACAAACATGGCTTTCTCCAGCTCAGATTAACAAGACCTCCTCCTGCTGCTTGGAACAATGCATTGTTACCACAACACGACAGCTAGTTAAGTTAAAAAAAAAGCCAAACTCAATCCACCCAAACATTAAAGCTTTCCCCTCCCCTTCACCAACAGACTTTTCTTGTCAGGTTTGAATTGTTTGCCAGTGAGCGGTGGAAAAAAGCTGTTGCTCTGTCTTGGCCCATATTTATTTGCTGCCTCAAATTAATAGAAGGTAGTACTATGAAGCTAACATCAGGGGGTGCAAGAAAATGGCATTGCCTTGTAGTAAAATTATGGCTACTTTCTTAGAGAGCTGAGTCCCACTGGTGTCTATTTTGTGCTACTCCATTTCAGCTACGCTGCCTGGGCTGACATAGCTGGGCTATGTGATGTAATTTCAGTTTTGCTAAACTAAGAGCAAAATCCCAGAAAGCACAAGCAGCATTACCCAGCCTCAGTGGACATACCCAGCCTTGGCTACGTTGCCTCTCCACATCTCAGCCCAGTGTGAGGCACACCGGGAGGGCAGTAGGAGAGATATTTGGTCTTGCTCTTACTAGAGGGATGCTGCTACATGCTTGCAAGTGAGCCAGGTAGTGGATGGGCGTTGTATAGAACTCCAGTCTCCCAGTCTGTCAGGCTTGAAAGTTTTTCCAGCTTTTAATTTTGTCTAGAGTTTCTCTCTTAAGACTCCCCCCTTCTTCAAACAGAGCCTCAACTCTGGCTGGGTCCCAGAGATAGATACCAAATGGTGCTTTTTTCCCTTTCTTTTGCTCTTTCTTCCTTCTCGTGAAGCTGGCAGACTCTCCAAACACACATCCAACCAACGCACAGTGCATTCGAAAACAGGCCATCTGGCTGAGCACTCCTTGAGAATGAGGAGACAAGAAAAACAACCCTCTTGGAGCTGGCAGCCGAAAGGCAGGCAGCCCGTACGGGGACTTGATCTCGTGGTGCAATCCAAGAGCCATCCAATCCAAGGGCATTGCAAAAAAGCTCTTTCCTAATGAGCAGAATACGGCTGTCTCCAGAAGCAGCTCCAAGTCAACAATTTGAGTGGGATGCTGTAACTCTCCTTGCTGCACATGTGCTCATTAATTAAAGCCACTTTGGAAGATGCCCCTGACACCCCCGCCAGAGCTGCCAGCCTACCCTCCTCAAAATCCTGCTTGCTGCTTTGCAGCCCCCTGCTGGGCAGGGAACTGCAGATCCCAACGGAATGGTGGAGCTTCAGCATCCAATCTTAACCACAAAATGGACCCATTGCATCGCTGATGAGCAGCTGCACAGGGAACGCAGTGCTGGAAGGAAGTTGCACTCCATTTGCTTTGCTGTCATTTTCTTCCCATCTGAGTTTGGTAACAACCAGAGAGCTGCAGGCAGAAAACCACTCCGGACAGATCAGCAGGCAACAGAGATGGAAGTGAGCTTAGCAACCGTGTGTTGCAATCCTTTGTTATTTTTTTTGATGGCTAAGGACTAGGTTTACAAAATCAGGATGGTTGAGGTGAATGCAGATTGTTAGTAGCCAAATCCCTTGACACAGTAGAGCAGGGAGCACTCACTGAAACCAGTAAGAGATGAGTTTAGAACAGATGAAAGATGCTACATTACATTAGGTAGGGAATGTCAGGAAGCTGCTGGAGCAGCAAGCTGCAGAAGCAGACAGTATCATCAGGCCCAAAATGGCACTGGACAAATTCCCAGACAACAGATCCAGTAAATGGCTGCTGAAGGGAAGAGGTGGGATGTACAGTCTAGAATCCCAATCCAGTAGAGGTGAATGCTGAGGAAATGCAAGTGGAACAGGGAGAGGGAAGAGACCAGGGCTGTGCATCTCCCTGGACAGCCTCTGCTTTTGTCCCAGCTGGAAGCAGAGTGCTGGGCTGGGGGATCACTGCGCTGGCTCTGTTTTTAATGAGAATCTCTGTCCTTATGCCAGCTAGATCTGAAGGTAATATCAACAGGCTGCTGATTCTGTAAATTATCAGAAGGAAGCTGGAGTTTGATTTTTTTGGGAGGTGGAAGGATTTGTAGAATATGCTTCCATGAATGTTAACTATCACAAGGCTAGAGTAATTATATTTCACACAATGACAGAATGATTCATTTGAGCCTTTGTCTTCTAGGGATCTCTGTGTTTCTGAACCTGCTCTTTTAGTATTAATGGGAGAAGTGATGGCTCAGCCTTTGTCTCAGTCAAGTATACACAAATTTCCAACGGCAAGTTACAGCTCTGCATCTCTGCATAGTTATTTCCCATGTTTATGCTGTGGCTTTTTGCATGCAGTTGTGTTTCCACACTCAGGGATTACAGCTCTTGACTTTTGATTTTTTAACTTAAGAGTAGAGTTCTGTAAGTGAAAAACTCCTTAGTTATCTTGAAAAAATATTAAAAAGTTCAGACAGCGCCACATCAGATAATTAGAAGCCTTGTGTTTCTTACCACTAAGGTATCAGAGACATTCAGAGCCTCTTCTTTTTATCAACATACAATATAGTTGTCCTGGCAGACAAAGATGAGGTCTAAAATTGAGATTTTGCATCATTATGTTTTTATACCCAGTGTTTTATAAGATTTAACGATTACAAGGAGATGTTCCTAGGCCAAAAAGAAAAAAAAAGGGGGGGGGGAAGTCGGGGGGTAGATTTGAAGGAGTCAAATATGCCTGTTATTTTTTGGTGACCTAATTCAAACAGTAGTGACCAGTTCAGAAAAATGTGGAAGTGACAACTGGCTGAGACCAGTACTAAGGCAGAATGAAGTCCTGCAGTTCAGTATCTAAACTATAATGGAGTGAATGTGAAAAGTAACTGAAAAGTTTCAGCGTGGAAAAAAAAAAAAAACAACTGAAAAGTGGCACAAAAAATTGGAAGGGATCCCTGGAACACTGACTCTACTTCTCTGCTGTCGTGATATCCTGCAACCAATAAAATTCTTTCTTCTAATGGTTGTTTATTCGCATTGTTCCTCTTAGGAGGTTATTCTGAGCTTCACTCTGCTGTTTTGAAGGCTTCTGCTAGTTTTCAGCCTGACTTTATTTATGACCAGTGTATATCTGTTTTAAGTTCTTTCCATTTTTAAACTCCAACCTGTTATTAGCCACATTTAGTAAAAGTTTAGGGCATAATTCCTTTACTCCAAATATGCGTGATTTGTCCCTTTTTTATTTTTAACTTACAGGAAAGCAGAACAATATGCCAAGACAAGATGAAACAGATGTTTCAGGTCTCCGTTACAATTCAGACAGAAATCTAAATCAGCTGAAAACATCAGAACAAAATGCTTTGTAAGTATTTCTGCACTATCAGCTACTCAGGGGATAGTTACAGGTAATATACCTTTCAGTACCTACTGCTTCCCTTTGATGTCATCTTGTTAAAGGTAGATTCCTTTTAGGAATGTGTGCAGAGATCACCATCCCTTGGTAAAGCAAGTCATCTGGAGCTCTGGGAACCTGGCGTCCCACAGACTGGATTCCAAACTTGCTGGAGATATTTGTGTAAATAGGATTGTTGACACAGAATATCACGATGTATCTCCAAGTTGTGCTGTATTTGTATTCGTCCTTGTATTCCAGTGAAAGGTTTATCTTTCTGAATTAGACTTTCTTAGAGCCAATTCCAAAATTAGATGTAGAGAAGGACCAATAACTTCAGTAAAAAAGATGAAGGGTCACCTCCTCCCTACCCTTACAGGCAGGACATGACAGATGCCAGTTAGAACAATTTTCTACTAAAAAAAATGAGTTTTGAGAGAACAAATATTTTCATAGAAAGAGTTTGCTTTCCTCCAAATATGACTCCCTTTCATAAACCCCAAAGATTTAAAAGCAAAAGAGATTTGATTGTTGGCAGTTTGGGGATTCTTCCCCTCCCTTTCCCCCAGCATTTTCCAATGGAAAATATTCAGGGTTTGGGTTTTTAGCCCTTTGCTAAAATGTCAACATTTTCCAAAGGCTGAAGGAGGGAAAAAGAGAAGAAAAGAAAAACATGTTCTGACCAGCTCCAGTCAGAGCCAAATGGCTCAATTCTGGGTATGGTCAGGGAAGTATGCTGGAGGGGAGAAAATGGGAGCGCCTTGGTTCCAAGCGCAGTCTGGGCTGAGGACTGTGTATCACAATCCATTTGTATGAGTCATTCCAGTCGACATTTCACCAGGGGAGCATGTGTAGTGGCTTTTAAGCACTTCAGGTCAATATGTTACTTGCAAACACTGCCTCACTGCTTACTACAGTCACTCTGGCTCTCTGTGTGCATGTGGGATGTGCACAGGTACACTGTGTTCAAGTCCTCCAATATTTCCATGACGTCTTTAACTCACAGAGGTAACAATAATACCTGGCACCTATCCAGACCTGTGAATTCAGCTCTCCCCCATACGTAAAGAGGAGAAAGCAGTAGAACTAAGCCTACAAAAGCCTTGGACAGCTATGGAACTGGGAGAAGCACTGGTAGAACAAAGTTGACATAAAGGCAACTAAACTACTCATGCATGTGCATGCACCATCCTGCTTTTAGTGGAAAAGAAATGGCTTCATTTCTCCAATGTGCTGCTGGTCCCCAGCTGCTTCCTCAGTCTCCAGAAAGCTGTCCCAGCATTTGGGCACCTTCAAATCTGATGAAGAGAAGGACTACCTTTGCTTCTGCCTCTCCAAGGCGTCTCCCAGAGCTGAAATGAGAGAGCTCTTGTATGGAAGACCCAGACTAGGTCTTTGTCCCCCTCTAGTGACTTGACTGCAAAAGAAGTTTTCTGAATACTACCTCCGAGCAAGACAGTCATTACTTTAGGCCAGGATGTTGAATGGTTTCCTTTTCAAAGGCTAGTAGGATATCTAAGCATCATGGGAAGGTCATATATTTATACACACTGAAACATTATCCATTAACAACATAAACAGTAATTAGGAACTTGACTTTCTGCTCTAATAAGCTGTGTGTGCCTGCTTTCCTCTCATGGAGGATGGCAGTCACAGACTTCACATGACATCCATGTAATCCTCCGGGAGACCTCGCTAGGTTCACTGTCACCAGAGAAAGAGCACGCAGAGGGACTCCTGTAACCAAACACTTGCTGAGTCACAGCTCAGTCACCCCTGTGCTTAGCAAGGCATGCCAGCCATCTGTCACCAGCACATCCTCCTCACTGCTCTGTGACTCTGCGGGGAAAACAACAGGAGGCAGATTACATTGACTGAGAAGCCAGGCTCTCGTGCATCTTGACTCTGAGTAATTCCTGCCTTGCCTTCTAACCAGTGCTAAAGCCTTTGGCTCATCTTCGTTTGGCCCTTTGTCGGGGAAGATAGTAACATTCAGGTTCAAACATTGAGCGCTTTGGCTGACTAATGAGTGACTCCAAACAAAGCCTGCTCTGGCAAGACATTGATAGTGTTGTGCAAAGTGTCCCTACTACAGACGAGTCATCTACACTGGCCTCCTCACCAGTACTCTAAGTAAACCAGAGTGTTCAAAAAAAAAAGCAGCAAAATAGAGGGAACCCTGTTTGCTACAGACTTGTGTCCCAACTATGCCCAGTAAACAGCATGTGAGCAGAGATCCTATTCTGTCTCCTGTCCTAAGTGACCTCCCTCCCGTGTTCCCCCTCCATTTAGTTGTGACCTAGAGATCTGCAGTCCTGGAGGGCGCTTGTGGGAACACAGTCCCAAGAGAAGGGCAAGTTTCTTACCACGTTCCTGCAAACCAATCAGATGCAGTGCTGCCCAGATACGTCAGCCAACCTGGGCTTGTGCAAGAAGCTTGCTGGGGGTGTGTGTTTGCATACCATGTACTCATGCAAGATTTCACAAACTCTGTGCTGCTTACAGCCAGCCTTCACCACTGAGGTTCCTTGCCCTCCTCTCTTGCATGTTTGAAAGGTTGTTTTCCCTATTAGCTCCCCTCAAGGACAAGGCACCCACACCAGCAATCTGACTGCCCTACTTCATTCTAAAGTGATGAAAGAGTGTGGAGTGGATGGAGCTTTTTTTACTCCGGAGGAATAAAGTGAACTCAATGCCAGGCACGGATCCCAGGCTGTGGAGTTCAAATCGTACTCTGAGCACATAATTCCCATTTGTGTTTGCGTGCATGCAGGGCGAGGGTGGGAGCTGGAGGGGGAGGGGGGGCTGAATATAAGAATGTAATTGTCATAATTTAATCCAAAACTACTTCTTGGAAGAAAAAAAAATAGGCCAACACAAAACAGCATGTTCAGTTATAAACACCACATGAAAGAGCTGTATTATGTTCAACTTGGTAACTGCCATCTAACTTCAATGTTCTCAGCTGCCCGCTACTGGGCCAAGGTCTTTCCAGCACTCCCCCAGCCCCAAAGCAAACAAAGGCCCCCAGACAAGCTGCAACACAGATACCAATTTCTGAGGCCATGGCAAAATTCCACATAGAAAGTTCATTATAGACAGAAGACACAGGCTGGTGGCTGGAGTGCCTGGGAGCACAGAGCCATCTGGGACCCATGGCATGCCCAGCCACACTGGGGAGAGTGCCTGCAAATCTCCTGCAAAGCCATAAAAAAGCTGGCCTGCACCATGTGGGATGCATAGTGCTTTGTAACCAGATTTCTCAGCGCTGGCCAGTGTATTCCCAGAGCCAGTCCATGCTGGCATCACAGCTGGTTTCTGATGGATGTGTGGGTTGGGAGCAATCACATCTGAAGGTACAGGGGCCCTTTTGTGCCCCTCCTTCTTCTCCCAGGCTCTCAGCTGGAGTGAGTCATCTGGTGCAAAGGAAGCATAGTTACTCAGGCTTGGATCCTTAGGGGCACTCACCTACTTTGGATGACACTTGGCCCAAAATGCTCCCAGGAATGCCAGAGACTTGGCATTGCTGAACATGATCCAGCAGTGTGCCCAGGTGACCAAGGCCAGTGGCATCCTGCCTTGTATCAGAAATAGCAGTCAGCAGGAGCAGGGAGGAGATCGTCCCTCTGTACTTGGCTCTGGTGAGGCTATGCTTCAAGTACTGTGTTCAGTTTTGGGCCCCTCACAACAAGAAAGATATGGAGGCCCTGGAGTGTGTCCGGAGAAGGGTACTAAAGCTGTGAAGGGCCTGGAGCACAGGTGTTATGGGGAGCAGCTTGAAGGAAGTAAACTGAAGTTCAGTCTGGACGAGGTTCAGAGCAGACCTTATTGCTCTCTACAACTGCCTGAAAGGAGGTTGTGGCTAGGTGAGGGTGGCCTCCTCTTCTAGGTAATGGCAATAGGACAAGAGTGAATGGCACAGGAATTGAGGCAAAATGTGATAGTGGAGATCCAGGCAGGAGGTCAGTAGCTAGAATCACTGCCACTCATGGTCTAATGAGGCAGCAGGTGAGGGGAGCAATGGCTGGGAAGGGATGGGGCATCTAACAATAGGAGGAGAGGGAATGGCTTCAAGCTGTGCGAGGGGAAGTTCAGGTTGTATATTAGGAAAAAATTCCTTCTCAGAAAAAGTGGTGATGCACTGGCACAGGCTGCCCAGGGAGGTGGTGGAGTTCCCTGGAGGTGTTCAAGGAACACATGGATGTGGCACTGAGAGACATGGTTAGGGGGCATGGTGGGGATGGGCTGGTGGTTGAGATGATCTTATCCAACCGTAATGATTCTATGAGCAGCACGTTTCTTCTCTCCCTCCATGGGATGCCCCAGGCAGAGCCCTTCCTGCCTGCAGGGCTGGGAAACAAGGAAATGCATTCTGAAGTTCTTGCTGTCCCCTGCGGTGGGGGTGTTCTGGGGTCTCATGCTAACTGCAGGCTTTGCATAGCATCTGTTGGAGCTATAGCAATATGATATCACAAAGTAAATGCCTTCTGCTTGAAGAATATGTTTGTTAGCTTTACTCTAACCTTTATTTTCCATGGGTCTGGGTGACATTATTAGCACCCGTGCTTACTGCTGAAGTGAGGCATCCTTGTTGGAGCGTGGGTGGGAGATAGGTTATAGTCAATATGGAGCGGAGCTAGAGAATGGCTTCTGTTATTTATTTCTTTGCTGTTCTTGTAGGATACATGACACTGTTTCAGAAGATCTGCTCAGTAGAATCTAATTAAAATCCGAATTGTCACCCAGGCACCCTTCAGAGATTGCGCTTGCTTCAGCTGAGCTGAATGCAGGGCTCAGCACGTGCCTGCTCCAAGGGATGGTCCGGAACAAAGGACAGGGCTGAGGGAAAACAAGACAATCGGTAGAGCTGGCTTTGTCGGCGCGTCCCAGCTGCGTGTCCTGCGGCCGAGGCAAGGCAGGCAGCGTTCCCATCCCGTGTACAGTCCCCCTATTGCTGTGTAATCCCCAGCTGCTTCCCAGCCCACGGGAGATACTAACGCCTTGGCGCGCGGGGTACCCACTGCGAATAAAAACTGCAGCCACCCTTCTCCCCCCCAACACCGCCCGAAAGGTGGAATTGAACCACTCTGTCGCTAGACAGCTACAGGTTTGAAGCCTGCACCCCAGACCACTGAGGGTCATCCGGGCAATTACAACCGCACTCCCTTCAGGCAATATGAGGCTGCAAGACGAAGCCGTTGCAAGGTCAGGGCGAGCGCTACGCAGCACCCGACAGCCGCGTTGAGCGGTGCCCCTGTCCGTGCCCCGGCCTCAGCCCCGGCCCCGCAGCACGGTACGCGCTGAAGGGACGACAACCCGTAGCTTGCTGCCGGCCCGGCAGCACGCGCGCGTCGTATGCAAATAAGGGGGCCGGCGATTGGCTGTCCCGCGGGGCGGGGGCGGTGGGTGACGCACGGCGCTTCCCAGAAGGAGTGGGGCCGCGCCCGGCGCCCTGCCTGCGCTGGGTGGGGTGGGGTGCGATGGGATGGGAGCGTCGAGCCTGAACGCGCCTGGTTGAGGGATTTCTTTCTTTTCTGTTGTTTTTTTTTTTTTTTTTAATTCTTTTATTCTTTAATAATAATGGTTAACGGCAGTATTTGGGAGGAAGACACGCATCTCCCATGAGATAAATCGCAGAACAATAATATCCTCCGGGAGGAAGGATATGCCTTCCTGACCCCCAGCGGAGTGTCAGCTCATGCCCCGCAGTACGGGATTGAAAACACTTGTGCCTCGCTCCTCGTGAACTTGGCTGCAGAGGCTATTGCCACAAATGCCTGAGCCCTTGAAAAATGACCGAGTTATTTGCCTCGAGAGATTCCTCTGAAGTGGGGCCATTTCTGCAGATGCATGTGGTTTGCAGTGATCTTTAATTATATGGCTCCTTTTGGTGCAGGCAGCTCAGCCAGCCTTTAACCTGCAAAGTGGGATTTTGTCAGCAAGAGCTGCTTGGAGAGCTGCTCCTGCCCCGTGCCAGTGTCGGGCAGGAAGTTTTCTCCCCTGGCTCACACGGGTCACATCTCTCTGCGCATTCCTTTCCCTTTACCTGGTGCTGATTCCAGTAGCAGGTGGTGTAATCTAGCACATTCCCTTTGTGCATAAAAATGCACAGTGCAAGGAACCGGGGGTGTGTGTGGGAGGAGGTGCAGGGAAATTACTCATGGGAGGAAGAAATTAGCACGGGGGGGGTGAGGAAGTCAGGTGGCAGCAGCCATCCCTTGGGCTCTAACCTGGTCTGATGGGAGTACGTCAGCCCAGGGGCCTGTTCTTCAGCCCAGCAGCAAGTGACCTTGCTGGTGATCCCAGCTAGACGTAAAAAGCTGCCCCTGCTCAGGAGAAATCCTCACCTCTGTGTTCCTTCTGTAAGGCTCGGCTTTGGGAATCCTTTCACTTTGCTTTCTTCTCCAGCACCTACTTTTTCTGGATGGCTTCTCGGTAAAGAATCCCGTTAGGGGAAGGTTTCCATCTGAGAGTGAAACTTCTGAGCTCCCCTCTTGCAGCTCTTCAGTTTTGTGAGCATCGATGTTGTCCTTCATGTCTCCCGATCGGTCTCCCTGTGCTTTGCAGAGTGACCATGGCAAGCACACAAGTCCAAGTGAAAAATAGCAGCCAGGCAAAGTACTGCAGCCTACAACCAAAGCAACCATTGGAAAGGCCAGCTCCCAAAACTTTCCTTACTTCACAGTACAGGCACTTGCTGAGGTATAGAGTGCAACAGTTGCAGAAGGTCAGGCAGTGCAGGAAGGTGCCCCAAGAGGGTCAGCAGCAATACAGGAAATGATGCTAGAGACCTCATAGTTGATGGGAAAGTAGTAACAAAGAAGTGTTGAGAATTCTCTCCTTGACCGGATGCAGGGCTGTCTAGGTTCAGATTGCTTTTGGAACGGAAGATCAGCTAGCTGCTGGCTTCCCCTGCACTGCCTGAAAATAACATTTCCAGGATCTCTGTGTGTCTGCTTCTTATGGGCTTTGGTTACCTGAGCCCAGGGGACAACTGTGGATTGGCTGCCCCAGCTGAATGACCTGGCAGAGGTGTGATGGAGGACAGGAGCTGCAGCCGTGGCCCCGCTGCGTGTTATTAAAGAGTCACTGAGCTGTGCTGTCTGCAGGGAGCCTTTATCCCAGCTCCAACCTGAACCAACCACGCTGCCTGTGTTACTGGGATGTGAGGATCTGGGCTGGTATAGTGGGCAACTGAACCCACAGCTGATGTCAGAGGTTAATGACTGCCGGTTGGATCGATAAGGCTACCAAAGATGCAGATAGGCACCTCCAAG